TGTTGTGAAATACACGTCCCAGAGCTGTAGGGGGAGCTCGTTGAGAAAACATGCGATGACAAAAGTGAAAACCAGCGAAGAAATGGCTAGAGTTGCCAAGTTCCCCTTTAAGATCATACCAAAGTTTTCAAATGACATACAACAAATCATTCATACTTTTTTCAAATAAACAATATATATTTTAAATATTTGTTTATGTATTTTTTAGAGCCTGACCGATATATTGGCCTATCAGAGACATAACGCTACTGTAGGTACATATTAGTGTCACTGCAAAGTTCATCCAGCAGAGGGCGCTGTGATTTACAATCCTGTGGCAAACAGCACAGAGTGGGAGAGAAGAAGCAGCTCTCAGCAACGTCGACCAGAACTGGTGGTAACACGCACATTGTTAAATGATTTAACTTAAATATTCTTTCATGAAGTTGTTTAGGAATGCAGCCTTCGGAGGGCTCGTCGTATCGGTAATGATGTCCTTCTGCATTGTCAAACTCTCGCTCCGACTGTGAACTCCCTTTCAACGACCGTCCCTTTATGCAGCCACAGAGGAAGAGCCAACGTCTGCCATCATGAAACTCAATGTGATTCTAAGTAGGGTCAGCACATAAATTATACAGCAATTCAGTAGAATATCATTTTTTTCCTTTTGGGTTGGTCGACCATTATTATGGAAAGCATGGAAACCAGTTTCACCGTAATTTACCAGGCTGCTCTAAAAGGAAGGAAATAGCATCAATCTTTAGTGCTGAAGTCTCCGAGGTCAAGGATGAACCTCAGCTCTTAAGCCGAGTCCTTCAAGTCCTCAACAAAATTGAATTTTGAAACGGGCAGACTCCTGAACAAAGACTGTAACTGCACTCACATACATGCTACACTTCTTTCTGCTGAAAGCTGAATTAGTGACTGTCCTCGACCGGTTGAAACCAGAGATTGAGATTGAATGTTTCTATTGGCCGATTGCTCCTATAAAACCAACGTTTCCACTCTGCAGTCTGCGGCCTGCTACGTAGCGGTATATGTTACAACACTTACAGAAACTTTTACAAACAGTGTGAATGTGCTTCTAGTGACTGTACAAGCTCCAGTGGACTGTGTGTTTGCAGTGTGGATACAGAGTCTGACAGCAGCTGTATTCATGCTGTTGTAAACGTTGGGTCGGTCCACTCTACCGGTGTTAGCGACCATATATTTGATTCTCTCTGTTTCATTTTTTTTTTTTTTATTTGCTGAGAGGGAGAGAGCTAAATTTAGAGGTTTAGTCACACATACATATTATTTATTATGTCTATCCCACTTCTACCCTTTGCTGTGGTGTGTGTGTCTTGTTTTTAGATGCAGATTCTTTAACTTACTGCATTACGGCTGCATTAGAGCCACAGCAGTATCTCTAGGGCAGTTTTTTATAATCTTCCACATACAACTAAGAAATTCAGGAGCTTTTGGACTCTGAATGGACGAGTGGTACATTGCTGAAGTTATTAACAGAAGTTAAAAAATGCGACATCCTGAGGACATTTTAGGTGCCATAATCAGAGCGGACCTTGTCTGATGATGATGTGAGAAGATCACAGAACGCATACAGACAAGCTGCACAACATGAAGGTTAATCATTAAAAACAGCAGACGGCAGCTCGGCCTCTTACGAGCTTGCTGACCATTTTCATACTTGAAATATTTGAACATTGAATTACATTTCAATGTTAACATTAATAACTTTTTTTCTGAGGTCAATGTTAATTCTTGTGGTATCAGTTCTTTTTATTTCGTGGTTCATTTGTATTAAATAAAACAGGTTTTGATTTGTAAAATACTTCAAATACTACAAGTTTTTCTATCAACGCTGACACAAAAACACCTTTTGATAAAATGTTAACCAGAAATTCAATTCAGAGACAGAGAAGTAGTTTTGGTATCTGTGCACATGAACATACCTGTGGTGTCCAGGTTATGACCAGAGGGACCGGCAGGTCAGCGGAGCATTCGGGGGCCTCTGCAGGGTGCTGTGGGTGTTAAAGACAGGACTGATGTACACAACGGTAATATTCCAGCAGCTGGGCATCAAACACATATTGTAAAATAACTGAATTGTACAATTACAGTGGTTTTCTATAATTAAAATACAGTTTTTAGCTTTAATTTTACATAAAATCTTATGTAATTGTCTTTTTAGATAGATATTTACACTGTAAAAACAATGCAATGACCTATAAATACAGGCAAACTGCTATAATGCAAATAATCAGGCTTAAATTGACAGAAGAGTGCTGTTATTAGATTTTTCTTATTTTAATCTGAATTTTAAAAGTTATAGAACTGTTATAAATGTCATTATCTGTGAATTTACAGTAATTATTGCTGTTTTCACTGATACAAACTTGAACTTTGACTTGAACAACACAACTTTTTTGTGTGTCCATGTAAAATTACCGAACAAATATTTTTTTTTACTGTTACTGTCATTAATTTACATAATTTTTTAGAAATGTATCAACCGTATTAACAGTTTAATCTATTAAATAAACAGTAAATATAGATTATAGATTTGCAAATGTATTTTAACTTTTTATGTTAAGAAAAGAAAAAATTCTAATAATTTACAGTTTTCAATTTTTTTACATTAGATATGTAAATTCACAGAATATTATTGTAATTTTATTAATATTTCCATGTAATTAAACAATACAGAACAAATCAGTCAAATAAACAGGAAAAAACACGTAAACTTTCAGATTTCTTTTACAGTGTATCTTAAATTAAGACTTTATTTAAATGTAAAAAGCACCACAGTCTTGATTTCCGCTCATAATATATGAAATGTGAACCCAAAGATGCGTCTTTCTCTGTCATTCTACGACCTTTGTGACCCCGAGTTTCGGTGCTCCACAGTAGTTTGTTGTTTTATATTTCCTCTCTCTGTTCACCTTCAGCTAGCTACTTTCCGTCCTTTTCCCCGCGCTCTCCCTTCCTCCCTCCCTCACTCCCGCCTGCCATCCAAGCCTCCGTGTGTCCGTGCCAGTGCTGCCTCCTCCCTAACTGTGCCTGGTGAGGGATGACCTGGCGCTGGATCTGGCGGAAGCAGCTGGAACGCGGGGAGCTATTTTTACCCGGTGCCAGAGAGGGGCGAGGAGGGCCAGGTGGGCAGGTGGGCGCAGAGTGGGGTCCCACCACCCTCCTCTGTCCCCGGTGGATGTCATCTGGGCTTAGGTAAGCACCACCTCACCGTGCCTCCAATACGCCACCCCGCTGTGAGATACTTACAGCCCTGCCAGCTCCTACACTTTACCCACAATTCACTGCAAATGTTCTCACATTTTACAACCACTAAACCTCCAGTTTCCAGTCACACCAAGAAAACATGAACATGCAAGATTTGATCTTGTAATAAGACGTTTTCTCAGATCTCATTTCTCATTATAGACCCTGAAATACATTTTTTGGTTTCATTTTTTAGCTTTGGTCATCGTTTCCATCACTAAAAGTAACATTTTAAAGTCCAAGTTAATTGAAACTGACAGATGCTAACTTGCAATTAGCACAAATAATCATCTATATGGACAATATAGGGTTATTGAGGACACAGAAGAAGCCATATTTCATTTCCCAGTGGGCTGATTTTGATTCATTTTGAGGTTATGGAGGCCCATACTGTACATTTCTAACATTTCTGGGTTGGCTGCCAAATACACTATAAGGGGAAGTGTCATTTGTAAAGATGTTCCCAGATTGCCCACTTCTGCTTTATATAAATAACAGAGATCGTATTGTTCTAAACACCTGGTAGTAAAAGAGTATCCAAACTGAACCTGAAACTCCAACTAATCAATGACGGTTTTATATTTTGCTGAACTCTCTCAGACGCTCAGACTTTGCTGTAGCAACGTCGCTTTGTTCTCAGATCTCTGGCGAGTACAACATTGTGATAACTGATGCTTTGTACAGGTTAACACAATGCAATAACCTCCTTTTGGAGTAGTGGTTCTTATAACGGGGCCTTGAGCCTTTTAGACATCTTAAGATTCATTCAAAATGATCAGATTGGAGACGGAGAATGGAAAAGTAGTACTCTCTGATCTACGATTCAGCACTAAAATCAGCCCAACCCATTGACCATTAAACACTCTGTCACCTCTTATCTGGCAATTTGGAGCAGATTTTGCTTTTTCAGCAGCTTCATTTACCTTTTACCTACAGCAGGTACAGGAGACAGCAGCTATGCAGATGAGTGTGGGTGTATTGGTTTTCTCTGTGCTCCATCCTGCTGAGGTCTGTGTGGAGATGTTTTATCTGTGCTACATCTCAGTCACAGCAGGTTATCATGTCTCTCCACACCCTCTCCAGTTTGACCTAGATTTAGGGGCGCAGATGTAAATCACTGATTCGCTATCAGCAAATTGAACGCCCCGTACGTGTTCGGTGAAGTCGGCCTGTTTGGATTTGGATGGGCTGTAGGTCGAGCTATTTCATCTGATGATGAATAATTTCCAGTGTGAAAACGATCCTCGCAGTGAACTGAGTGAGGGAGAGGGAGTGCGTCTTACCTTAGACTTGAGTTTAACAGTGAGGACGTGCTGCCTTCCTGAGGAGTCCTCCGCCTTCAGTCTCAGCGTTTGGAACTCGGTGTCGATGGAGAGCAGCCTGAAGATGGACGCACACATAATACATACGCAATCAATCAAAACCCATTCACAGAGAAGGGTAACACATAATTCTGTAAACTGACAGCAGCCATCATCCGCCGTTAATCACGGCTGCAGAGAGCAATATTGAGACATCAACTGTACCTTCAGATTTATCACTGCGGCCACCGACACAGTGACATTACATCAGGCTACGGCTCCACATTAACTACAGGCTTCTCTAAATTCTCATTTGTATTCTTCTCCAGAAAGTGCTTCTTTAATGCTCTAATGGAGGAATGTAAGAAATCCTGAGGCTGAGAGCATTATTTTCATGCTGAGTCACCATAGAAACATCCTGGTTTTTATGCTTTATAATAAAACTGGAAGCAAAGACTCCCCTCACCAGACTGATGCAGGGAGAGCACGTTTCATGACGTGATAAAATAACAAAGAATAATTGTGATGAACAGAGGTATATTTGATATTTATGCAACAATTCAAAAGGAACATAAAACCGTAACCCTTTCAAATACCCTTTACTTTCTCCCACAGTCCCCTACTGCTGTAACTGCCTTCAAAAGCTGCTTACCCTGAAACAGTTTCACTGGCTCGGGTTTTAAGCAAACATTTCTGTCTCTTGTTTGCCCAAAAGTGAAATTCTACAGGTGAACGCTGGGATTTGTGAGCATGTATCAATTTCATATCAAACTTAAATTAAATGTGGCAGAATCCAAAGAACATGGACCAAACTCCATCTATATTAAGACCAAACCTACAGCTGGTATCAACTGGAGCTGCAGACATGAGTCGTTTTTAATCAGTTAATCTTTTTTTTACCAAAAAAAGTCAAAATTCTCTGATTTCAGCTTCTCCAATGTGAATATTTTCTGCTTTCTTTCGTCCGCTACGACAGAAAACTTAACATCTTTGGATTGTGGACAAAACAAGACATTTGAGGATGTAACCTTGGGCTTCAGGGAACAACTAATCTTTTAATTGAGAAAATGATCAACAAATCAATTAATAATGAGAGCAGTGTATCTGATAAGAAAAACCCTGTTAATGCGTTGTGTAAACCTATGGTAATACAACCTGAACACACGCTGAAGAAGTGCTGTCTGAGTCGTTTGCTTTATCTTCCCGTCATTGCTTTACCCTTTGCCAAACAGTTTCCATTGATACTGTCCAGGATGGTTCTGTGTAACAAACCAGTCAGCCATAGTACTAAAGCACGGGGCCGTCATCTATTGGTTATCAGCTGGAAGGAAGACTCCATATGGTGCATCCCGAGCTTTAATGCTTATTTTAAGGGCTGGGTGAAGTGAGGGGTTTGACAGGACACACGACTCGGATCAACGGACTGCAGACAGGAACAAAGTCTACGTCACTGTTTGAGCAAAACCAGTGTTAGAACAACACTACAAGGACTTCAGCAGTTCCAGGAGTCGGATTCAAACTCCTTTAAAACGACGTGTGTCCCGGTGACCTCAGGATGGGTTCACGTTTTCAAGCTCGAGTCAACCTGTAAATCAGAGCCCCTCCTTCCCGAGCCAATTATAACCTATTGAAGCTGAGGACAAACCCTGATCCTGGCACCAAACGCCGCTGTCAGATTTACTGCTGCACTATGAAGGAGTCAGCCCACCTCTCGAGTCTCTCTCTAGTCTACCGAGACCTGAAGACTAAAGGACCTATCTGAGACAAAGGATGAGGACAGTCCTCCTCCAGATTTACAGTAAGTTACGATGGACGCTCTGCGGCGAGGCTGACGCCGCCGTATATCTGCTGAGGATTTATGGAGTGTGTGAGAGAGGAGTGATGTGCTCGGGAATGACACACACACACACACTTAGGGAAGTGATGGAACGATGGGAGACGGTGTCCGATGTGCCAGATTCATAAAAGTGTCTCAAACGCTCGCAATCAAACGCGGGCGAAGGGCAACACACATCTCAAACATGCAATATCCTGATCACACCGATCTCACTCCGTGTCCCTTTCTTGCATGCTGACCTGATAAATTTCTACTCCTGCGCAATTTCACCGCCCCCGTCTCTCTATCTCTGAAACCATCTGCATATTAAAATCTCCCGAACTAGGTGCCCTATCTGCTCCCTGTAACACACACCCCTCACCACGCCGCATTTTAGGGACGCTCCAATACCAATACGGAATATTTACAGGCCGAAACGAACCAGCAGCAGCTCAGAACCCCCTGAACACCCAGGTACGCCTTTACAAAAAGAGACATAAAACACCCATTACTGCTAACAGCAATACATACACAAATCTGTCAGGCAAGACCGGTTAATAGACCTACGCGAGCGGAGGAAGTTACAAGCATCCAATTGAACAAATCAATAAATAAGAAGTTGAATCGTTGAAATAAAGTGCAGGTGATTTGCAGAGTGCATGAATCAAAAGAATGCCGGTTCTCTCAAAAGGAAAATCTCTTTAATGCCTCTTCAGTCATGACACCTGAGTAAATCACTGCGTATCCTTTGTGTTCTGCAGCCACCAGGTCTGATGGGCAAACACACAGTACGAGGGGTTTTTGCACATATTAGACATTATAACATATTTTTAAAGGAATTAAATTAATCTTTTACTGCCCGCTGTTCCACCTGCAGGACATTAGCACTATAAAGACTGCTTTTAATGTGAAAAGCTACATAAATATTACCATGTATAATATACTGTATGTATTGAGTTTACTGAATCCACATTAGTGCTGCACCTACTAGGAAACGGGCCAATACCGATTTAAAGAAATTTTGAATAACAATTTGGCCGATAGTCAATTCTTTTTTGTTGTTATTTATTCAACTTTTTTTTGCCGGGAAACAAAGAAATCTACAAAGATAAGTTTATCTTCCTTGTCTCTCTAAGATCTGAGACACAGAGCTGGACAGCCGCTCACTTTGTTAGGGCTGTCACTTTTTATTCAAATTTTGTTTTAACGTGGTTAATTTTTGAAGTGTAATTAAATGAATGAATTGAAAAGTTAGTCGATATGTGTTTGAAGTAGTTTGCCTTGTGATCCAGCAAAGGTTGCTCCACTATCAGCCCGACCTATTGCATGCCCTACTGACCCGTCTTTAAATGAAGTTAGTGATGTTACGTCATTTACTACGGATATGGAGGACGCCCTGAGTGGACAGTCGCGACACCAAAGCATCGAAGAAGCTTCTGTCGCCTTTGTACGAAGCAGCTGTCTGACTCACTTGCTAACGTTTGCTCAGCAGCGAGGATGGACCACTGGTTCCCAATTGTATTCAGAATTTAAGAGAACTTATATACTAAGTAGTTTGTTCATTTCTGTGAAGAAAACTAAATGAAATTGATATTTTTAAAGTTTATATTATTTAATATCTAGACCTGAACACAGTGTATACTGACAGAGCCTTCACTCTCTGACATCCTGCTTTAGAAATGTGCACACAGTTTACTGCTAATAGAATTAGTATCAGGGAGAAGAAAACACTACATTTGGCAATGCAAATAAACTGCCTATTTAAGTATTTACGGTTGTATAAAAAGTTCCTAAAAATATCAGAAAAAGTAATCTCTGATTAAATATTCACAGGAAATAAACTAAAAAATGCCTACAATTCATTCAAATCTCTTTTTACACAAACTTCCTGCAGGTATTGTGTTCACTGTTGTACAGTTAATGAGTTGTTCTCTACTGTTATTGCTATGCATCAAATCTAATGTGAAATATTCATACAATATGTCACTTAGTCAGTTTACTCAATGATCAGAATCAGAATCAGAAATACTTTATTGATCCCCGGGGGAAATCTGTTATAAATCTGGGGGATATAGAGTAAAGTAGGGCTGGAATAAAAGGGCAATAAATGGGAAGAAATGCGTCTTATTTCACTCTGTATTAACAGAGGTCAAACCAGTGCTCAGTATCCACCGACCAACTTAAGGTGCAGCATTTTCCCAACAGTCTTGGGAGTGAAAAAGTCAGTGCATCGCTCACACACACACTTCCATCTCGCCTCCTCCGAGGTCTCACACCCGGGATGGCAGGCACTAGCCGCCGCCCCTACTTGGCCGTGATGGAAACAGCGTGACAGTCAGACGTCCTGCTGGGAAGACTGATGAGAGCATCCCATTTGCAACTCCGCAGCCAAGTGAACCGCTTCCTTCCAGACGGCGCACACCACGCACGTCGGTGCTCCTGAGTGTGCGCATGTCTCTGATTTCGTTTTTGGTGAGTGTGTGTGGGTGACGACAAAGTGATTAATGAACGGTGAGATCAACACATATGTAGTTCTCATGCAAAATGATGGTGGAGGAAATAGAGGACGATGTAACGCGCTAACAATGTATGTGCACAAATAAATAAATAAATAAATAAATAAAGCACACTAATCTCATAAAGCACAGACACCTCTGTATTAATTAGCTTGGTTTGCAGTCTAACTGTGCTAACCAGGACATTTCCATTACTTACCGGACGTAAATCCCAGTACTGTTTGTGATTGCATTTACATCACATGATTATAGGAGTCATTTATTAGCTGGCCTAATAACGGGAGAGAACAAATATGAAATAAAAAAAGAAAACATGTTAGAAAGCATCTAATCCCTCAGCCCTTGTGGCCCGATAGAGGCCTCAGAAGAACAGTGTGACAGAGCGATAACACCGCGAGGAGAAGACACACCGTATGTACACCGGGAGGCGCCAGCTGTGCCCCGTAATGAGCCCCGGAGCTTCCAGGGCCACGTTCCCGGGGCCACCGAGTGATGGCGGCTGACCTACTTGACCTCATTTTCCATTAATTAACACATGGTATGCCGTCTCCAACCAATTAAGATGACCACACTCTCAAATGCAGAAACGGAGACACACGGCGAGATAGAGATGGAGAGAGCGAGGAGAGAGAAGACTCACTTTACCTGGCCCAATCAGCAGACAGAATTACAGCTGGAAACCCCTGGTGGCTATTAGCACGCCCCGTACCAATTAAGACGCTAAGCGAATCTCGAGTGCTTTGGAGATTGAGGCCCACTGCGTATAATGCCTCCTAACCGTAACACGACACTGAAAATGATGTTAGTCCCATTTCCAGCATAAAGCATACCTTC